ACGTTGTATTTTGTTTCTTCTGTTAGTGCAGTCATTCTATCAATTATACATTGCTGATACATATAGTAACATTTGCCAAAATCAGTTCTTAATAATATAAAATAAAATAAACGCGAAAGTTAACTACTTGCATGAAATTAATATTACATAATGTAAAACAGGTAAAAACCAGTGTGAATATAATGGATAAGAATGTGGGCCTTGTAGACACCACAGTATTCTTAGGGATTACTTTAGATTATAAGCTTCAATGGGGCCCATATATTAATAAATTGTCAAATAGACTTAGCTCTGCAGCATATGCCGTAATGAAGATACGCCAATTAACAGATGTATATACAGCCAGATTAGAGTACTTTAGTTATTTCCATAGTGTAACGTCGTACGGAATTTTGTTGTGGGGAAACGCCACCGACATTCAAACTATTTTTTGTTGCAGTTACATTATATTATCCATGTTGTAACATTATACTTTTTATGTTCTGGAGAATTTTCGCTCGTTTTTCTCCGCAGCTAAAAATATGTCCAATGACAAGTGGTAGGGAAAAATAGTTTTTGGAAGATTCAAAAGAGTTGTACCATACATCCAATTTGAATAAAGATATATTGATTTCTGATTTCCGAGTGAAATAAATAAATAAATAAGAGGAATAAGAAGGTGGGTGTAATGGTATGGTAAAGGTATGGTAAAAATAAAGTAACATTAAAATAATAAATAAAATATTGATTATGTTTTTCATCTCTTTCGCAATGCGTAATCATTTGTCAACCCTATGGACGCACACCCGCGGCGCGCCGCAACCGCAATTGACACACATTGTCCACGCGATGATTTCTCAAGTCATTGTTTGGCTGTTTGTGGTGTTTATCAGAACGAGCATGCTCCCAATGGAACAGCACTTGATCCAAGGAGTCCCATAATTAAATACGTTATTTTATGGGACACTTTTTAAATGATTCGAAACGTACATCACTTGTGGTCTATTAATGTCGCTGTACACGGGCCACACGCCACAGCCACAAACGCCGCCACGAGAAGCTAGAAGCGGCTACTAAAATGGCTGAAGCGCGCGACAGCGGCCGACTAAGGTAAGGGAGAGAGGGGTAGGGAATAGCGCGAGTGACGTGTGGAAGCGTTTTGTATCGGCGCATTAAGTGGCCGGTGCGGGCCACAAGAAGCGAGCAAAGACGATACAAATCGTCGTGTGGCGGCCACCGGCGTACCGTGTGTGGCGAGTCCATATAAAATGTATGAAAACTATAAGAAATATGCCGGTGTGGCGCGACATTAAGGGATATGAAACGATTTGAACCCCTAAATCATCATCAGCATATTCATTTCACATTCATGGAAGGAATAGGGAGCAGAAGCCATAACATGACGCACCATGAGAGCCTCATGTGTATAGAGCCAGGGTCTTTTAACGCAGCGGTAAACAACTTTGGGAAGATCACATCTCCCTGTCGCATTCCTCGCTGTATTTGGATAAGTCTCATAGTCTGCTCATATCTGCGGACTGTCATGGTGGCATTTTCGTACAAACTCTTTAGCACTTGGATGAAGCAATAGTCGATACGGCACCTCTGAAAAAAATCAACACGGGTCAGTAATTTCAAGAAACATTGTGGGAAATAGGCTTGCAACTAATTAAAGCATGTAATAATAAGATTTATACCTTGACCTCCCTTATAAATAAGATATTGTGTGACTTTAGAATGTTTTGCCTAGTGACACTTAATAGTCTCATCTAATGATTAGATCTCGTAAATGTAATTCTACATAACAACATAAAGATAACATTATCATAATTAATATTTTAATCTTATCACTTAGAGAGATTTCTTCCATAAATATAAAGTTCGATAAAAACTGGAAGATGAGGTGCTAGAAGGCTCTCTTAATTGGGTGTATTATTTCATGTATAAACATAATCAGGTATGAAAATAATAAAAGTATAATAATTCAGTCTCATTATTGCACGTTGAAAAATTGATGTAAGGTCTTTTTACTACTATATAATAATAGTAAACATCCCCGCAAACTTTTTGATTATCGAACATAGACCAGGAAGCCTGCGCAGTAGCAATTTTACATACAAAAACTTCTTCTGCGCATGTTGCACACAAGCTTGACTTAATTTGGGATTAAATAGTTAACGCTTCGTTTTTGTCTGGAATTTCAAATAATAGTTTTCGCCGGTTCTTCTCAGAAAGGTCTCCCAATTTTGGAACCGGTGGTAGTTTATGGTAGTTAGGGTCAAATAAATAAACTCAAAATCACATTAAAAAGAATAAAATATTGTACTTATTAACTAAATTACCTAATAAATTTAAGCATAGACAATAAAAGTTTTAAAAATCTTCCAATAGAAACGCTCAATAACAGTCTTTCGAAGGTAGTTCAACAAAGTAAATAAGAATAAACATTATTCTGACGACGCATTCCTGCAAAGGATGCAAAATGTCAATAAATAAATAAAATCAGTGCATCTAACCTGTTGAAACTTGTTTCATTTAATGAGTGATGTGCGTGAAAACCTAAGAAACAAATATTTCAAATAATAGGTCTTAAAATAACCAAAGCTTTTGATGCATCAAGCGTTTCCATTTTTTATTCGATAGCTCTTTAGTTGACGCTCATTATCACCGGAGTTACGCGGTCGAAGCTGTAGGTGGGTACTTGAAAATGCATTGTCACTCTCCGTTAAAAGAACTGACCACCCTACGAACAGACGCTGGCAAAGAACTTCAGGCTTTATCTTCAAAAAAATAGAAGTCATAATCGTTATTATCCATATCACGCTAGCTACACCCTCAAGGGTTATCAGAACTGCATTGTCATTACTCGAGTGGTTATCAATCTCTTAGTGGTAAATTTATCAGGCGACTTGAAGCCCTCCAAATCTTTATGACAGGAGGCAAAGAAAATAAATGTCATGATTTCGATTCAAGTAGTTTGAGGAAAGAAATCACGCAAGCTAGTGTGTACAATGACGTAGTCAATATATTTTACTCATTGACTTAAAAAACGCTTTAGTATTCTTGTACCTTCAACAAATAGATCTACCAAATATTACGAAAAATTTTAAAAAATAGAAGATTCACATACCTACATAACTACTTCATCTAAATAAAAACCTTAATATTATATTATTATAATAAAAATAGCGCTGGAACAAAGGAAAAAAATATATAAAAAGATACACATTCGGATGCATTAAGCAAGATTGATATTTTTTCTGGTAAAATAGTTTTTAGACACACATAAAAAGGTTTTTAGCTTGATAAAAAATATAAGTTTTTTGAAAAATATAAAAACTATAAATTAAATTGAATACGCTGACTACATAGAAACGAATTAATAATAGACGACTAATAATAGCAATTAGATTATATACTAACCAAAAAAAAATCTCTTTTTAAGCGAAAGCGTACTATCTAAACTTTAAAAAAAATGATCATATATTTATCTTAGTTAAATAAAAGACTTCTTAGCTAATACGACACCAAACCATTATTTGCGAAAAAGATGGAATAAAAATAAGCAACTACATTATAAAAGATTTAATACTTTTACATCATCAGATTAATGTCCCTACTGCTGGTGCCCAGGCCTTCCGTATGGATGGAATAGGGAGATTGGGCCATGACCCACCACACGGGCCCAGTGCGGATTGGCGGGTGCTAACTAATGCAAATCCAGCCAGGACCAACGGCTTAAAGTGCCTTCCGACGCACGCAGGAACTCGAGATAGAAGATTTTTGGTCACCCATCCAATGACCGACCATTGCGAAAGATGGTTAACTTCAACGATCGCAGCCGAACGCGCTAGCCACCTGCGCCATCGAGCTCCTCAACTTTTACATAATTGGAGATTAAGCCAAGTCAGGTAAAGTTTCACTAAAAAATATTTATCTTTAAGAAGTACTTTTAATCTTATTATCACAACAAAAAAGTAAAAAGAATAAAAAAGCATTTGTAAAGAGATACAAATGCTACACAATGCTACATAAAACCTTTTTATTGTGTATTTGTACTTCGAAAAGACTGTTGTGATTATCTAGGTACTTTTGTTGATAAAAGCTTTGAGATTACTCACAATTCTTTAACAATATGCCAGATAAAAACACCAAAATAATACAAAAGATATTAACAACTTAAAAGGTATCAACAGATTAATTATTTAAGTTGCGATAGCAATTTTATTTTCTATTGAGTAGATAGATAATAATGAAATTGTTTTTCGGACTCTAGTCGTAAACTTAGCCGGTGGTCCATAACAATGGTCTGATGAATCGAGCCATTGAAACTTAATATGTAAATAAAAATGTCTACCTGGAAATATTACGCAAGGTAACTTTCGGTGCGTATCGGCTTACAAATTACTTCCCATCAAAATGGGTATAATAGATTACTCACTTATCTTAGATTTTGTTTAAATTATTCATAATTTTGTATACTTTATAATCTAAAATTACCATAAAGATTTACTCGAATGGTTCTCAAAACTCAAACATCATTGAGTTTATACAACTCGTAACTCAATGGATATGAGCTCTGTAACTTTCCTAATGTCAAACAGTCGATCGTCTCCAATAAAATATGAAAAAGACGACGAACAGACCAACTATCGATAAATAAAACCTTACGCCAAGTTATTGTGCTCAAAATGAGACATAAAACTCGAAAGACGGAAATCTAAACAAGCCTTACACAATAACGCGCGCGTATAAAAAGTCACATCACAACGCCCACGGTGGTGACGTTAAAACTAAATTATTACTTGCTCCTTCACTCCGCTATTCAATTTCCAGGCCTATGCATCTTTGTCGCATCGGCTCTTGGCTGCATTTTATATAAACCTTTCATCAGAGGACGGTAAGCGAGGCGGTAATTTTTCGCGCGAGAGAGACGGAAGCGACAGGGTGTCAAGCGGTGGGGATAAGACGGCAAAGCTCCCGCAAAGTACACAGAATGCAAAAATGGCGCGGCGACGAGTGACAAGGTGCTAGGGTGGGGGACGCGACGGGCTCAGTCGTACGCCGTCCGCTGTCGATCACGCACGTGCGCAGCGCTCGTGAGTGTTTGTGAATGGAATGCTCGGATACTGTGAAGTGTTTACACTGAGTGCGTGAAGAATTAACTAAGCTGGAAAAGGATCACGGATTGTGGAGCAACATGCTCACTTCAAGCAACCAGTATTTGCGCCCGGATTATCTGTCGCCGCTGCCAACCACGGTAATTGATAACAAATTGAAACAACCAATTATTGGTAGTTTATTTAGCTCCTAGCTGCCTCCGATTTCAATATACTTAATCGATTTGTATTCTGAAAATGTCAACTGAATAGTTAACGTCTCGATATTGCCTATTCTTAAAAGAATCATCGTTTGAGGTGCGCGGATAATCTAAATTATTCAAAGTCGATGCAGTATTTGAAAGAAATTTTATCAAAAACTAAATACCAGGCATAGCTCAAAATATTAAAAAATTTCATGTCTTAAAATTATAATCTGCTTAATTTGTAAACAAAAGGTAAATGTCTTGAAACAATAAGAATAAATGTAAATAAAATTTAACTACAGTAAGACAAGTTAGGAACAAACAAAACTACTCGTGTAAAGGGATGTCTATTTTTTGTGCAACATAATATATTAAGAAAGAAAACAATGAAGTACGTTATAGATTTTTTTGTAATTATTTTTATGTACAAAATAAAAAGTTCTATGCAAACCCGTAAAATAAAATAAAAAACTTTTTTGGCAAAAGTTTATTTACTTTTGTTACTTCTTTCGATATACACGTAATTTAATTGATTTAGTTACAGTACATTTTAAAATCATTTTTTTAATCACGTTTAGTTGGTATTGGTTAAATACATTTATTGTTATTAAATACAGCCTTATCACTCTAGTTGACAATAAAACTACCTTGCCTTACTTTTTTAATTCTGTATAATTAATACATTTGTAACAAACCCGACAACCGTTTATTTTCTCGTTCAAACGTTTGAAAGAAGGCAAATTACTTTGACCCCATTAGGTCCAACCAATCAATCAATATACTTGTCAGACAATATGAACGTTCACAGAAAACGTTAAAATCTAAACCGATATTTTTTATTTTTGTAATCAACAATAAAATATACTTCATTTATTTCTAAACTATAATATAATACAGTTTTCATCAACAGATGTCTGTCTGCCAATAAATAAGCGTTATTCTTATAATTTAAAGTCCGATAAAGAAGAATAATATCACCTTCTTTAAATAAATATCAGTATACTGATATTTACATAATTCGCTTTATTTTATTTTTTCAAATAGTTCACTAGACTCAATTAATAATATCCATTCTTATGTTGTCTGACATAAGACCTATTGTACTACTTCTTGAAATGTTTAAACATCATATTTCCTCATCAACAACGGCCCGGTCTGATAAATGCTATTAATCAAACACAATGGGAAACCATTACTCAGAAAAACGAGCTCATAAATCTTTTCACGTTATACCTATGAGTGGAAAATGTATAGGTACCTACATAGACGCAAGGTGAGCGCTTAAGTATTCATTCAACTTAGTCAATATTTAATGTTAAATTATGAAAAGTTTCATAATTGTTAAATATAGAATTTTATTATTGCAAAAGCATTGTTGATATTGTTCAATCATTACTAAGTCTTTTGTTTAGTAAGTATTTCTATTAGTTATTTATAACACTTGATTACTTTAAAGTCATTAAAATGTTATAGGATTTCTATTGTTCAAAATACGCCATTCTGTTAAAACAATTACCTATGCTATTTTAAGACCAGCTTATTTTATAGTTATATATAATTAAGTAGTAGGTAGGTAGAATGAAATAATATTAGTTTAATTATAGGCAAAATAATATTGACTTCGCTGATTATGTTTTTATGAAAATAACTAAACATTATAGTTTAAATTTATTTCTCAAGTTTTCACGCACACCAATCATCAATAACTTTTGTTGAAAAATCTATCAGCATGACTTTGACAAGCATAACATCAATTTGTAAAAAAGTTAACAAAAGGTTTTCTAATAATTTTGTATAAAAATACTCAAATGAAATTCTTATTCATTACACTACCAACTTTTCAAAAACATTAATTTAATTTAGTAAATATTTTTTTTAAGTTATGCTTGTCCAAGTGACATGTTTCATAATTATCGTTATCGCAAATAAAAAGACAGCATCCACTTTCATCAAACTTTGTTGATGTCTTTTTATTATTTGACGTCGAGTGTGAGTGTGGTCGTAACAGTCGTGTGAAAAACAATAATACTTTAAAGCAGTTTCTTTAACATTAATATAATATTACGGTCTTATTTTTACATGAGAACGGTTCTCATGTAAAAATAAGATATAATTATTTTAATTTAAATAAAAAAACACATAAATAATATGCAATTCTTAGCACAGAACCACTTTAGTATTACTGTGTAAGAATTGTTAGAATGTCGGTATAACGAACGTCAACAACCATTCATCAATTATAAAAACGCACGTTCATAATTATCATTTTATCCTCATAGGCTTAAAGCATTTAGACCGCTATTCTAATTTGAATTCCAATTGGAATCCTCGTTGAATGACAATTAGATCGCTCGTAAAATACCAACTGCGACGCTGTGAATATTCCCCACATTACTCCGGATAGTGAGCTAGCTCCGATGTAATAGACGTGACGTGACAACGCGCCACAAGTTCAGGCATGCCGCAAATTTAGCGGCACAAATTGCCCTTTTCACTGCGAGATTACATCATGCGGGAGCCGAGTGAAATGTCAAGCGGAGCCGACGGCTGCCAGACGCGCGGATAATGGCGCGTCGGCCGCGTGATTGGACGCCCTCCCTCCCCCGCACCCCGCGGTGCCTTTGTACGCCCGTCACTCGCAACCCCGACTCGACATTTCATTTCATAGACGGCTTTTCTTTGTTGCAGCTCGACGCGAAAAAGAGCCCACTCGCGCTACTAGCGCAGACCTGCAGCGCTATCGGCGCTGACACCCCAAACCCCAAACTGATCTCCGCCGCTGAGAAAGCCAGCAAGAAATACGAGGACAAATCACCGGTCATCCACGTGCCAGACAACAAACCCAGCTTCAAGCCTTACGAATCGTGCCTAACTGCGAGAGAAAAGACTAGGACGCCCGAGGACAGAGCCTCGGTCAACGCCCACTCGAAGACTCCTTTGTCTTCGAAAGGAAGTGCCTCAACCACGCCAGTACAAGCGCGCTGTGGAAGCAACCAGAGTTCTTCATCTCAAAGAACTCCCCCGCCCGCTCACCGTAAAACGCCATCGGAAAAATCAGACGAAAGATCCAGCCCACTACATGGCTCTCCAGCACCATTGAAATCAAATTCAGACTCTGCTAGCAATTCGTCCGCATCAAAGTTACCATTTACACCCACCTCACTAACGTCCAGTGCTGAAACCAAAGAATCCAGCTTCAAGCCTAGTGTACCTGTTTCGTCATCCGCTTTCTTGGGGGGTTTACCACCTACTGGATTTCCACTGCCTATGGATTTAATGACTAGCAGTTTAATGGCAGCACAGCACCATGCGTTGAAAAATGGACTGAATCCTTATCTAGCGTATGCAAGAATGAAAGCGCCCAGTGACTTAGGAATATGCAGAGATCCGTATTGCACGGGCTGTTCTCTAAGCTCCCATTTGCTCAAATCCGCCGTATGTCCAGCTGGGTGTGCGCAGTGTGATCACGCTAAGACGCCATTTCCACTGCCAACAAACCACCCAGCAGCCGCTGCGTATGCTCATGCTCAATTAGCAGCTCTCGCTGCGGCATCACAGCTTCCTTTCGTCTGCAGTTGGATGGCTGGCGATTCCGCATACTGTGGCAAGCGATTTGGTTCATCCGAGGAATTACTTCAGCATTTACGATCACATACTGCTAGTGGCGAGTCGAGCCCGAGTCTTTCTATGTTGAGTGCAACACATCCACTGCTGCAGAGAACTTACCCAACTCCGCCTCTGTCTCCTCTGACGCCGAGGTTCCACCCTTACAGCAAGCCTTCACACCTGATGTCCTCATCACCGCTGCCGTTCCCGTTGCCCCCACATCCTTCCCTGGCAGCGTATTTCCCCTCGTATCCCCTTTTTGGACCGCGGCCTCTCCACCCTTGAGGACCGTCGGCGCTCCACACACAAAAGAAGGGGGGCGCCGACCGCTAACGCCCATGCCAAAAGGACTATCGGAACTGGAGATAGTGTAAATATATTGTAGTGATCTTCGGGTTTCTAGTCGGATCATATCAACGACGTACGAATGGATGAGCCCCTAGGGGCGACGAGCTGTGATCTCTAACTCAATATAATGTTAAACGCACTGATACTGTGAGAGTTCTCTCTAAGCTTGAACGATCCGCTTGGAGTGCGGATTATTATTTTCTAGTTAGATTAACGAAATTTTTATGAACCAAATCTATAGATTGTAATTTAAATAATTTCTAATTTAAGTTGTTGCAAATAATAATTGTGGATTGTTAAATTGTGTTTGTATTTTTTTAATAATCGAGATATTTTTAAATATGAAAATTTGTGACAATTGTCGATCACACATATCTTTTTAAAGTAGTGTTTACTTGACTAAGGTGTCTCCGAACAAAATGTCTGATACTTAAATGTTACCGCAAAATAGTGAATTGTTCTTATTTAGATGTTGCCACTCTTCATTGATCTTAGATGAATCTCAAGCACACTCAGAAGTTTATATTATTAAAATGCTACACTTTGTTTCATGTGAAAGATTTTAAATAGTATTTGCACACATTTTACGCATAATAATGTTAAATAATGTACGGGAGATGATGCGTTGTACATGTGAGGGCGTATCGTGTTTCGCATAGTAAAGCTACTGTACTGTAATATCTCCAATCGATATCTGTTGAATCAAAGATTTGTTGTTATAAAGAGCATGAAAACGAAGAAAATATACGTAAATATTTAATTTGATCCTTGCTTTTGATTTAAACCTATTTTCGAAGAAACAATAAAGTTTGTGGAAAGTTGTGATCATAGCTTCTTATCATGATATTAAAACGATTATCGAACAGTTTACTCTTGAAATCCAATATCTTTTGACAGTAAGTAGAGATAAATCTAGTGTTGGGTAGGATACGACTTGAAAAAGAGTTTGTAAGAGTAGTTTCTTTTTTGTACTGAGCCAGTACAATGTCCCACTTCAAATGAGGCGAGGCGTACTGAAGCTCGGCAATACATTTGAAGTGACGGGTACAAATATGACATTGAGGCGTACAGAAGCTCGACATTACGTTTGTGTGTACGAGTAGCACCTGGAGCGTAAGTTCTGAACGCAACCCTGGGCTGCGTTCAATACATACGCTCTAAGTGCAACTTTTACCCTGACGTTTAAATTTTTAGCGGGGACAAGGATTATTTGGCGTGTGGATGACTTTGACAAGAGGGCGTTGTACTGCAAATTAATTATAGAAAACACAGTGAGACAGCATTATTTCCAGTGTGTGTCATGCGATGGCCCACAAGATCCTTGTCGCACTGTATCACAGACTACTAAGATGACAGAGAGATAGGTACTACTACACTGTACCGTACAGGACTTAAATGAAATGTCATACCTCGCTCTCTCTCAGACTTACGAAGAATGAGTGAGTAACGAGACGCAACTATCGCGACATTTAATGTGAAGTAGTACATTTTAAAATTTTGAGCCGCTCTTACATTTTGACGTCATGTCCGGGACAAATGTACCGCCTCTTGTAAGTCCTACTCAACACTAGATAAATCGGTTATACCGAACATACTTCTGTGGTTATACAAGGCTGGTGTATTTATTATTGAGACAATATTCATTATACAGGGTGTTACAAAACTACAAATAAAGCTTGAAGGGCGTTGAAGTACATAATATAAGGAGTCTTCTCTAATTTTCTTAAAATTTTTGCATGAAGTTTTAACTTTTTATAAAAACATGTATTTTTAATGATTAATAAAAATATCGATCATTTTATGACACGTCACTAGTTCGAGGATTATTACAAAACTTCATGCAAATATTTTAAGAAAATTAGAGAAGACTCCTTATATTATGTACTTCAACGCCCTTCAAGCTTTATTTGTAGTTTTGTAACACCCTGTATATAGGTATAATAGCTCTTGTCTTGAGGAATTAGGAAAATAATAAATGATCCTTCTTGGGTGACAAGCCTTTTCTATGGACGGAATAGGGATAAATGGCCAAGCCCCAAGACTAACCATCCAAGCCCAATGCAGATTGATACGTAAGTTCTAATAAGTGCAGATACAGCCGGGATCAACGTTTCGGCCGATTCACGATGGAGCTTCAAAATAACGCCCAACAAAAGAACATCTTCATACTTACGGGCCCAGTCTTAGTACCCTAAGCATGATCCAATATCGAAAATCGAATAGCAAAATTCGACCTCTTTACTTGTCAAAATGTCAAGTAGTTTTGTATGGAACATTTTTTACTCTCGTAACGTCCGCTGTAGCGCTGTTCTCCATACAATACTTCTTAACATTTGACGCGTATCGAGATCGAATTTGATATTGGTTCGTGAGGGTACAAATTATTTTAGATACTACCGGGATCAACTGCTTAACATGCTCATCATTTAAGTAATTTTGTTATAGATAAATAAATTTGCTTTTTATTTCATAGTTCATTAACAAAACTGGAATGATGTGTAAAACCGGGTACTCATTAGCGAGCTGTAACTAGTGTTGCCAGGTGTCCCGATTTGAGCGGGACGTCCAGATTTTCAGGGGTCTGGGGACGCGTCCCGATTAGTACCTGATCGGAACGCTAATGTCCCGAGCAATCAAAAAGTGAAATTTAGGTAATTGATATAATACTATACTTGCACTTGTAGTTTAAAACGCAATTAATTAATCCAGACTTAAAAACTCCTTGATTTTGTTTACTGTCCCGATTTGCAACCCTACACCCGATTTTTGCCCTCTTGTACCGATTTAAAACAAAACGGACCTGGCAACACTAGCTGTAACCGAAACATGCGTGATACAGTACGAGGTTCTAGTGTGTACGCTTGTAGCTCAGTCGGCTCGCTGCAAACCGCACGCGTATCGCTCGCAGCAGGCTAGCGAACCACGTACACACTATGCTTTTTGGTTACAGTGCATACAACGGTTACAGTTCGCTAATGAGTTCCCAGCTTTAAACGGGATTAAGCCCTAATTTGAATTAAGAATGTTGGTGCAAGTGGTAAGTCCATTGTAAAATCTTGGGAAATAATTTATCACATATTGTATTAAAATAAACGGAAGAATTGTTCAAGAAAATTAAAATAATAATAATAATAAATACTTCACGCCAGTATAATTATGTCGCAGCGTAATTGGGTACGTTGGTGTTTCACAGATAAATTATATGCAATTTATCTGTCGGTCTGTCAACATCCATCATGGGCGGCGGCGATTACTGTTGAAATATTATGATCAACGCGAGTTTCTTATGCGAAAATGCGAATACGCAATGCCAACAGCTTCTGAAATAAATAGGTACATTTACATTACATTACATTTAAAGTTGTTGGACAAAAATATAGGTAGTAATTATGTTGCTATGACCAAAGATCACTCGTTAAATAAATTTTAGTATATGATAAAAAAGGGAAAAAAATTACGACTGTCGTAATCAAGTGAGCTTTTTATGGAGTTGCCAAATCTGATGTAAATCTGAGGTAAAAACCTTTCTTTTGTTCAAGACTTCATATTGCGCGTAAGAGCTTCACTAACTAATACAAATAACATTCACAGCATGACATATTTATAGCACTCTAATTTGAAATAAATATCAGAAACAATGAACCTAACCTAACCTAACCTAACCCAAACCTGAGACCAAAAAGCAAAAAAAAAACATCTCTCTCATTCCTCGCCACCGTACCTACTACCAAGGGGTGCTTCCTCCATCATGCCTCTACCGACTGGTCTACAACACCTACGATATTAATTAATGTATATTTAATCATTATCTAACAAAAGGTGACTTCATGAATCATCTCAGAAACTTGGCGACTCTGTAAATAAAGAAACAGGGAGAAAAAAAAACGACGGGTTGCACTCCGGGAGTGCCGGCAGAAGTGAAAACTTGAATATTAACGTTGTGCATTTTTGATATTTTGGAATGGTTGGGGAATAATTATGCACGAATTGCTTTAATTATCAGTATAAAAGTACTATCATGTATGTGGTAGAATACAATATTTATTTATTGCGCTATCGTACACAAACATGACAATTTATATTACATTAAAAAAGTTTATCTCTCACAAAATGAACTTACATGAATCACGTTTAAGCGCACTTAGCGACATCTATGGCAAAGAAATCAACTTACATGAATCACATTAAGGCGCACCTAGCGACATCTATTGTAAAAAAATGCATTTTCTTCACAATAAAGCTGCCACGTGGACGTCCTAGATAAATACTTATTATTATAATACGGTAAAATAAAATATTACTAAGTATGTTTCGTCCAATATATTGAAAGTCAACAACCTTTCCAATTTTATTGTGTGTCATGATGCGATCAGCTCACGTGGTTAACCTGACGCTAGTTTAACATTTTTACCCATACAAAAAAAGTGTACAACGCCGCTTTTCACTTCAAAAACGGCCCTTGCTGAGTTTCTTGCTGGTTCTTCTCGGTACAAGGTCTTCCGCCGTAGAATTGCGAACCGATGCCGTAGCTTCTAGATATTCACGAGTGCTTGTAACAGCCAAAACTGAATATATGATTTTGATTATGATTATACATCATTGGTGTTAAGGAACTTATTGAATGACGGCGCAAGTCAGACATTTGACGTGTATGGCTGGATTAGTATGTAAAAAAATATATGTTTACACGGAACTAACTCTGTGGTGGCATGTTTCAATCTAACAAAACAGAATACAAATTGGTAGGTGTAAATTGTGGGACACCTGAATTGCGAAGAGATGGCGCTGCCTTGCAGCCTAAGAAATACTAGAGAAAATTCGACACGGTCATCAGGGTCGGGGTAATATAATGGTTTGTGCATTCGCCTGGATAGCGAAAAGTGCGGATTCGAATCCCGTCTGCTGCCTGGTCCGCGTGAAATTTTTTCTAGTAAAATTTCCTTCAGATTATAACAGAATAATTTTACTTTTGGAGAAATCCGAATTTAACTTATTCTCACCTAAAGATTTTCTTTTAATTAAATTCAACTTTATCCAGTCCAAGAGGGAATCTAAATTACCAAGATTGCTTGTTGCTCAACACGTTTCATTTTTAGGGTTCCGTACCCAAAGGGTAAAAACGAGACCCTATCAGATGCTAAAACTTCACTGTCCATCTGACTGTCACCAGGCTGAACCGTCATGAACCGTTTTCGCTAGACAGGTGAAATTTTCGCAGCCGATGTATTTAGTGTGTAGACTGTCTATCTAACTGATGG